AAAAAAAAAAGTCATTACCAACTGATCAAAATTTCTCGACACAAGAACAAATAATAAATTTGAGAATTAAGATTTTATTGTTATAAAAAAAAAAGAAGGTAATATTGTTACCTTGTTCCCCATATAGCCCATTAGCCCAATTCCAACAGGAGAAACTTTCAAGTTATTTATGTGCCTCCTCAACCTTCTGCGCACCCAAACCGACACATATATCCCCACCATCTGCTTACTCACAATTCGAACATAACTTTGGTGTGACTGCACAATATCATTTGAAAGAGCACTTTTGTTTTCGACCTCAAAAGAATATCCCTCTTCACATTCTTCTTCTTCTTCTTCTTCCGCCTCCTCCCCACCAGAAATCTGATCCAAATCATCCGACATAGAATAAAGAGCAGCATCAAAGTCATTATTTTCCCGGTCCATTCCGAGCAAGCACAAGTTCCCCGAGCTATGGTGCATTCTTTTCAAACCCGAACCACCGAGCGAGAAATTCCGAGGGCTACTGCTTGACCCAATTGTTGCGCAGCTGCTCAGTACTCGTCTTAATTTGGCTCTCGAGGAGAGAGAGTGAGGTGTCGTGTCCAAAGACTGCTCGGGCCAGTCCAATCGGGTATTATCCCAGTCAGCATTATATGTTCTCTGTAGCCGAATGTTGTTTCGAGCACTCGTCATTTCCAGCACGGTGGCCTCATCCACGTCAGCCAATACGTCAGAAGCAGAGGAAGTTCGGAAGACGGGTGAAGGAGGAGCACTGTAGCTTTTGTGTTTGGTTTCGGGTTCGAATGACTTGTTCAAGGTTTTTCGAATGATGGCTTCCCATTTGGGAATAGGTCTTCGGGTTTCTGCTCCGAGTACATTCCCGGCATTCAGGGGAACCACCTCTTGGAAACTGTGAAAAAAGTAGGAAATTACCAAAATAAAAAAAAAAAAAAAAAAAAAAAAAAAAAAAAAATGTAAGCTAAATTGCATTTTCAGTCCTTATGGTTAGATGCATAGCAATTTCAGTCCCAAGATTCTAACATTTCGTCTTGTAGTCCCGTGATTTAATATTTTGCTGCAATTTCAGTCCTTTGAAGAAAGGAATGAAATTGTAACAAATTTCCAGATTTATATGTTTTTTATTAGCAATTTCATTCATGTAATTTAAAATTTTATTGCAATTTCGATCCTGTAATTTAATATTTTGTTGCAACTTCAATACTTTGAGTATTAAAATTGCAGCAAAATATTAAATCACTGGACCAAAAGTCGAAAAGTTGGAACCTTGGGGACTAAAATTTCCATGGCGTTAAACGAACAGGACTAAAAATACATTTTTGCCAAAAAATTTATTCCGGAAGAACGACAAAATGAAGCACAGAAGATGAAGAGTTAGACAAACAGAACATTAATAAGACAAATAGAGCTAATGTAGGCGATATGCAAAATATTCGCATGACAATCTAAACTGAAGCTTCTCAAATTCTAGCAGAGAATAAAGTTCACAGCTTCAGTAAAGCTTGAGTATCCGATAATATTTAAACCTACTTTCTAAGATATCTAGTTCAAACACTTCTACTACAAAAACTAATCAAATAGGTTAACTTACACGATGATTGAATAGCTATCGATTTTCCAAAAGAACTCACGATTTTGATGCTATGCTTACCCAATAATGTATATATCTGCTGGCTCTTGCAAACAGAGCCATTCATCAATTTCAAGATCATCATCTGGAAGCCTTCCGGCAACATTCCACGTGCCTATTGTTACCCTGCAGCAAATGGAGCAATATATCAAATGACATTTTACTATTTTTATTTTTTTTCTGTTCACTGACAATCTAATCAATTGTATTGCAAATAGCATATGGAAGTATAAATCATCACCCAAAATTAAAAGATTTTTGACTTCTTAGTGAGACACACCTCACATCTTTTGTATTTATGTACTGGAGCCTCAGAGTTTCTGATTTTCCCCTCCGGTGTTGTATTGAGCAGTCTTTCATTGGATTCCCTGTATCATATCATTCAATTTCATGCATCAAAGTATACACAGCGTAATTTTCTTTGAAACATTCAACAATCTGAGATGTTAAATAACAAAAGCAAAAAAGACATTCCAATATTTGAATAAGTCGATATGTAGCATGTGACTCCACAATCCAACTTAAATGGCACTCAAAATTTCCATTATTACTGTACCGAAACCTCAGACGCATCTTCTTCTTTCAGATAATTAAAATTACACATACCGGGCATATCAAGTGAAAATTTATAAATTATAGAAAGGCAAAAAAATGATTGATCAGGTTTAATATACTTGCTACCTGGAGTTTTACTTGAGCAAAATGACTGATATCCCGGTGTATCATCAACAGGATCGTCTCGCACAGCTTCGTTTTTAATCGAGCAGACTACACAAAAACAAGAGCAATATTAAAAAACAAACCAAAAAAAGTGATCAAGAAACAAGCTGGAGATCATTTGGTGAAAGGGCACCCAAACTAAACCAAAATCCATACCATCATCTTCGCTCTCTGTATCTACTTCATCTTCGCTAAACTCATAAACCTTTGGCTTGATATTAAGCCATTTTTTCATCACAATGGAAGGCCAAAATGGCTGAGACCAAAAAAAGGAAAGGGCAAAAAAAAAAAAAAAAAAAAANNNNAAAAAAAAAAAAAAAAAAAGTTAAGGACAAAAAACAAAAATTGAACAACAAACTGCAGCAGCATTAGCATTTAGCTCAGGCAATTCATCAAACACTTAGCAAATATCCACAATCAGACATCATTAGCTTACCTCAGAACGCTTTCCTCTTCTTGCTCTCATGCTCCTAAGGACAAAAGAACTCACAAAGAATCCTTAAAAGACTCGATCTTTGCTCCCAGCCGTACACGGACTAGTATTTAACTGCATCGTTTAAGGACACCACCACAAATCTGGGTTGTGGGTTTTCGGGCCCATCTCTCCATTGGAGGCCAAATACAAGGAAGATTCGTGCTTGGGAACAAAAACAACAAAGACAGATAAAAATAAAGCAATGGCCAAGCTAGCAGGCAAGTTTAACAGACATCCACTGATACCAACTTGCACACAAAAGAAATTCTCTCTGGTCCTCAAACAACCCATCATTTTCAATCTTGAAAAATAAGGAAAGACTAGATTTTTATGACAGCTCGAGCGTAAACCAACCAGCCCACCACCATGAAAAAAAAAAAAAAAAAAAAAAAAAAAAAAGTTGCTAAAAGATTAGCTTGTCGTTGTCAAGCTCAAGTGTTCCGATCACGGAATCATTCCGTAACCGTTAAATCAACTATCCCGACAGTTACATAATGATCTAACGATTACAAATTTCGACAAAATGGTTCCGTAATAAAACTGCATCACCTCCCAAGCTCAATGCCCCACTAAGAGAAAATCCGACTGGTTTAGTACAAAAAATTAATGCGTTGACATCAACAAAGGCAGGTGATGTTAGACTGGTTTTAGGTTTTGTATTACATTAAATAATGATAATTATGTTCAATTGGTGAGACTCGACCGACCAAGAAGCAATTGGTCATTTTGAAACACCATCATCATAATATAGTAAGATCTAGAAACATATACACAATTAGTATAAATATGGGTATGGCTAGTTGTGTATGGATTATAAAATGAATTATTTTGTTGGAGACTCAATATTGATCACTTGGTCCTACCATGGGTAGTGCTATGTGAGGGGATTTAGAGTGTGATTGTGTATAAGTAATACTAGTGTGTGGCTTCTGCGATGTACCGAAAAATAATATTACGATTGTATTATAAATTAAATATATAAATAAATTAATCAAAATTTACTTATTGTTTTTAAATTAAATCGTGTTGGACACAGTCCGACCGGATGGACCGACAACAGGTTTATAATCAGTCCAGTTCACATGAATAAAATATTTGCTATTGAATCAATACCAGTCGGTTGAACTGGTTGGGACGATACGATTTTCTAAATAAATTCGGTTATATTTAAAATAATGTTAAAAAAAATTGGATATTTTAATAAAATGGAGATTTATAAATTGTTTATCAATTAATTTAAACATTTGAATTTTTAAATTGTTAAGATATTTAAATAACACATTTTATTCAAATTTATTGCAAAAACTATTATATATAAATATATATATATATATATATATATATATATATATATATATATATTAAAACGTATTTTTAAAGAAAAAATAAGTTGCATGATTTTTATAAATTAAATTATATGATTAAATTGTATGATTATATTAAAGCGTATTTATAAATTAAATTGTATGTTTTTTAAAGAAAAAAAATAAGAAAAATAGTAAAACTATTATTTATAAAACTATTATTTATGGGTAACATTAAAATGCTGACCTATTTTTTTGCTACTAATTTTAGTAAATATGATGACTCTTTATATAAGTATAGATTAGTTTTGATTGGATTTGTTGAATAGTTATACTTAAATTTTGAAAATATTAATTGAGTTATATAAATATAAATATTATCAAGACCAAAAACTCAAAATTAAAATTATATCTCAAAAGCTGGCATATCTATCATCTCAATTTATATGTATAGATTGTAGGACCTCGACCAAATTATGCGTCTCTACTTTAGGCTAAATCCGCCAATGGCCACCAAAAAAATTTGTACGAATAACACAATCACTCATCGTACAAAATAAGTTGGTAATATAACAGCTGTATAAATTGAATAACACAGTCACCAAAAATTTTATATAAATTTGATACAAAATAAGTTGGTAATATGCCAACTTTTGAGATATATAAATTGAGATGATACCTATGCCAACTTTTGAGATTTCTCCTCATATATTAATTCAAACGTGTTAAACATAAGTATTAGGTTTGGTATTAGAAATAAATAATTTTTATCATATATTTCTTGATTCAACAACCGTGTTGTACACGGATATTGTGCTAGTATAATTTTTATTTTGAGTTCAGAGGTCCTACAATCTAAGTTAGTAATTTTGTCTTAATTGATGAGATGACTTGACCAGCTCCAATGCTACTCTAGAATACCGCAAAACGCTGGAGTAGCGTGAGAAATTCTCTCCAAGGCAGCGCTACATTTTAGCGCTAGATCAGATAAATAAACAGTGTTGCGCCACATCTAGCGCAACACTGTAGCACAACGCCATATTTTTTTTTTTTAATGTATTATTGATGATAAGTTTTTATATAATGTGTATTAATAAATATATTTTTGTGCTAAATAACTTTGTGCAATGTATTTTTTATGCTAAATAAAATTTGTACTTTTTATCCATTGATGTATTATAATTTATTTTGTAATTTTTTAATATTAAAATGGTACATATGAATAAAAAATTAACACATTCCAACTGGTAGTTTTCATTAAACTTAAAAGTGTACAACAATCGTAAATAATAATATACACAAATAAAAACAACATAATTAAAGATAAAATTTATATACCAATTTATTTGAAATAAAAATAAATAAAAAATAATGGTAGCACTCCAATACCCCAACCCGATTTTCCTCCAATCCTCGACCTTTTTGAACTCCTCAAGATCTGCAAAGACGGCGGGAGTGCTCCCGGCGGTAAACCTCTGACACCTCCGACGCTCAAGTCAGTAAAGGATAGAGGGAAACTGTATGTAAGTGTAAGTAGTATTAGGGTTTGTAGAGTGTGATCTTTTTACCTGCTACCCCTATTTACCTATTTATATGGACTTATTTAGCTTCCTCCATACGCTTTGTTCTTCCTCCGTTGGATCATTTGTTCAACTTTGATCTTGACCTTACACGTGTCCTTTGTGGACCGCCTTTCATAACCACCTCCCACAGGTCGGTCCTCAACTTTGTAGAGCATCATCACTGATTGGCTTTTCCTTAACAGACCCTTCTGCTATACTACATAGACCAATTGCTATGACGAGCTAATGAGCCTCGTTGCTAGGTCGAGTTGTTGCTACGACGAGCTAATGGGCCTCTCTATTAGGCCCAGTTGTTGCTAGGACGAGTTGTTGGGTCTCTCTGCTAGGCCGAGCTGTCAGTCGGAACAACTGATGTGGCTATTATACCAAGCAGGTATAACTATAACAATTGGACCGAGTCGAGCAGGTACCACTGGACCGAGCAGGTAGGAACGAGCCGAGCAGGTACTACTGGACCGAGCAGGTACGAACAAGCCTAACAGGTACTATTAGACCGAGCCGAGCAGGTACTACTGGACCGAGCAGGTATGACCGAGCCGAGCAGATGCCATGTTGTCTGAGTCGGGTTATTAGTCGCCGGTTTACTAAGTCACTCTTATGTGCTATATCAAATAATATATTTAATGTAGAGTAAAATGTAGAGATAAGGGTTGGAGACCAATGTTTCACCAGAAATTCTATGGCACCACATGTGGCACCATATTATGGTGCCACAACATGATGTGGCACATTATGATTGGTGCCACAACTATCACACATCATGTTGTGGCACCAATCATAATGTGCCACATCATATTGTGGTACCATAATATAGTGCCACATGTGGTGCCATAGAATTTCTGAATGTTTCACTCTACTTTATAAGAGAGTAAAGTCCGCGCTAAAGTAGAGATAAGCACTAGAGTAGAGATAAGTAATGTGCCACATCATATTGTGGTACCATAATATAGTGCCACGTGTGGTGCCATAGAATTTCTGAATGTTTCACTCTACTTTATAAGAGAGTAAAGTCCGCGCTAAAGTAGAGATAAGCGCTAGAGTAGAGATAAGGGCTGGAGATGGCCTTAGAGAAATATTATTAAATTTAATTGAAATTTGCTATTATGTAACTTGCAACCACAACTTTATGATAAATGGTAAATTTACAATTATTTTCCGCATATTTTTTTTTTTAATTTTATATGATATGTGGAAGTTGTAATTATTCATTTATTAGTTCGTGTCTTGATTTAAAAAATAAAAATAAAATTATAAAATGGTGCCTTTGAATAAACTAGAGCTGGGTACAGACTCATGTGATCTATTATTGTTATTATTATTATTATTATTATTATTATTATTATTATTATTATTATTATTATTATTATTGGACCACTTGGTGGTTGGTAGGCATATATATCACATTTTTCAAAGGTTAAGATAAGATGCTTACACATATATTTAGTTTAATTCATTTGATATATATATATATATATAAATTGTATGTATGAGCTAATTAATGAGGATTACATATTTTAGATTTGTAGTAGCTATGAAATATGTGGTGAATATAATTAGAACAATTAATAGTGGGACTTTTCACATGTTCAATTTGTATACTT